AAGAGGACCACGCCCCTGAGTTCATCAAAGTCCGGGAAAACCTGCGCAGAATCGCCACGGAGGAGAGAGCACTGTAGAGTTCCCTCCATTCAGTTCCTGCCTCTCACTCTGACCCTTCTGAACCTGAACGGTGATGCCAGCAAGGCAGACATGAGAGGCTGGCGATCCCTGGGCAGCTGGGGAATCCCCGCACCCCATAGGGAAGTCTCTGTATGGACTTTTCCTTCTGAGCACCTGGCCTTCCTGTGCTAAGAGGAAGCCACTGCCAGGAAAGACCTTCCCGAGGTGCCCTCCCCAGTCCCACTCACCAAATGGGCTTCCCCAGCAGAAGTGGGAAGGAAGGTCAAATGTCCTTCCACTCTGCCTTGGCTTCCCAACAAGTCCGTGCTTTTGGGAGAAGCCAGCTCCTAGTGGCAGGAGCATCTCAGCTCTGGCTTGACCCGAGGCCAAGGATGCTTTGGAAATCACAGAGCAAAGAATGCGCCTTTCTGTGGCAAGGAAGGCAGGGGAGGTCACAGCAGGCTGTGGCCAAGAGGGAAGAGTCCTAACCAAGGCAGCTTCAGGCCTTGCTGGCTTGCTGCATGCCGCAGCTTTTTTCCTTCTCGCCTGTCCTTCCTGAATTGCTAACCACATCTCACCTCAGAGCTCCGGCTTCCAGCTTAGAACAGCACATTGCCAGCTTCACTGGACATACCATACACACATATATGTACATACATGTACATGTCATACACACTGGAGAGTCCTGGAAACAGTTCCTGGGATATGTGTGTCTAACACACTCCCGGGGAAAGCCCAGGACACTGGCTCGAGTAGATAGCTAGACTGAAGCATCCAATTCCCTTGGTTCCCTGGCCTGGAGGTTCCCAGTGCCGGCTCTAAAGCCTGTATTCATTCGCTATCCATAGATGTCCTCCCCCAATACACACACAGGGACCCTTGGTCTGGAAAACTCTAGCCTAGCAAATACAAATGGTCTTGTGATTGTAACTGCCAATCTTCAGTATTTACTGGTGTAACCACACTGCAATTCTAGCCAAAAAGAAAAAAAAATCTTAGCTTTTTAACTCTGGAAATAAAAATGTAGTTTGAAGACCCCACTGCCATGGTGACGGAATGGCTTCTTAGAGTCAACATTGCCAGCCACTGTCACCTGAGAATCTCCCCCCAGCACCCCCAGTCTGGAGCAGCCCCATCTCTTCTCCCTCCAAAGACCCTTCTTGTGCTTTCTGTGTGGATCTTTTGCTCCTACGCTGTCTTGGATACCTACAGGAAGGCCTGAATCCTTTCCCCTGAAGAAGGAAACCCACGCCTCTGTTTTGAAGCCTTTCGCTGGTGGGAACAGCACTACCAGAGATGCGCAGATTTTCCTGTGGGTGTGCTGGGTGCTCGGGCTCCAGAAAACGATGGTGGGAGGGTAGCAGGGTGTGGGTGTGGCGGCAAACGGGGATTCTATCTCTTGCCCTCATGCTCTCTCTTGTGTGTGTTTTTCCAGCTCTCTCTCACATGCATGTGTGCGTGCATGCGTGTGTGTGTGTGTGTGTGTGCCTGCATGCATGTGTCTGTGTGAGTGCATGTGTGTGTGTGTGTGTGTGTGTGTGTGTGTGTGTGTGCGTGTTCCAGCTGTAAAGGTCTAAATGAAGTGTACCTGTCTTAGGTATCTGCTGGTGAGGTGTTATGCTGGTGTGTGTTTCTTAAATAAAGACAGTGTTGAGGGTTGTTGCTCTACAGGTATGTGCGCTGTTCTTACATGTAAAGAGAAGCAAGACAGGGCACTAGGGATAGAGTAGGACCACTCCAGGGTCCTAGTGGTCCCTGGAGGAAATGGCAAGTCACAGAGATGACACCCAAAAGAATAAGGGTCCACAAGGCAGGTCATCCAGGAGAACCATGGCAGACACTTTGATGCTCTGTGAATCTGTTAGACCTAATCCATCTTTCTCATCACCTCCCACTAGTGACTAAAAATATAGAGTCTCACTCTCTCAGCCTGCTCTGTAGATTTGGGTGACCATGTGACCAGGTATGGCCAATGTAATTGAAGTGCAAGTCTACAGGATCTACCAGAAAATCCCATGCTTTGCTGGGAGACTCCCTCTGCCTCTTCCTTCTTCCTGCTTGATTGGGGATGTGATGCCTGGAACGTTAGCAATCATGTTTAACCTGAGGAAAAGGCCAAGAGATCCATAAGCCCTGTGATCATTTGACCAAGCAAGTGCCAACAGTTCTCTGTCTCCAAACACCTTGTAAATAAAAATAAACTCCTGTTTCTTAAAGCCACTGTGAGTCTGTTAGTCACATTTCCTAGCTGACTCTGCCTAGTTAGGGTGTCTATTGCTGTGAAGAGACACCATGACTATGGCATTTCTTACAAAGAAAGCATTTAATTGGGGTAGCTCACTTACAGTCTCAGCCATCAGAGGTTCAGTCCATTAGCATCATGACAGGGAGTATGGCAGCATTCAGGCAAATCTAGTGCTGAATAGTAGCTGAAAGCCCTACATCTTACAGGCAACAAGAAGTCACCTAAGACACTGGGCAGTATCCTGAGCATAGAAAACCTCAATACCACCCCCACAGTGACACACTTCTTCCAACAAGGTCAAATCCACTCCAAGAAAGACAAACCTCCTAATGGTGCCACCCCCTTTGAGATTCTGGGGGCCAATTACATTCAGACTGCTTCAGACACAAAAGGTCAGTCTTGCCTGCCTGTCCAGAAATCCCCGTAAGCAAGGCTAACAACCTAATTCCGTCTTTCCCAACAGAAACCTCTTAGGACTAGTTCCACCGCAGGGCCTGTACCCTCTTCTGCGCACACTCTGGTGCTGCCCACCTGATCCCAGTCTGGAACTGGAACTCTTCACCACTGATTCCCCCTCCCTGGTGCCAGGCAATGTGTTGCCTTTCCCTGGATTAGTGCACAGGCTTCGTCTGTGTCACTGCCTGCTGCCTTTGCCCCGAGCCTCCTCAACAAAGCAGCGAGGTCAGCCCTGTGACAGTTTTAAGCAGATCTTGCCATCCTTCACAGAGCCCTCTGCTGACTTTCAGGGGAGGTTTCAAGCAATCTAGAAGGTTCTATGTGCCCAGCTCCCTCTCTACCCTGACCATCCACTGTGGCAGTCAGCCTGGCCTCCTGCACTGCCCAGCAAGCCCCCCTTCACTGCCTGCTCCCCCACTGCTACTGACCAGGAATAGGCTTTCCTCGGGAGCCACCAGTCAAAATTCATTTTCTTCAAGGTCCAACCCCCAAATCTTTCAAAGAGGGGGGGTGGCTCCAGCTAAAATGTTGGCATACATCCTACAAAAGTAGGTAAGCATGGACCATCTCAAATGCATCAAAATGGTATACTGATCATTTGGAACCCCTGGAGCAACTATTCACGCGTGTCTACCCAAGCACACGCGCTTCAGGACAGCTATGAAAGCAGCCCAACACAAAGCCATAAACTTACTTAAAACATGAGATTTTCCTGGGCGTGATTTTTTCCTTCTAACTCCATTGCGTAGTTCTCCAACATGAACTGCAAATGATAACATCTCACGGTGTCCAAAGGTTGGCCCTCCCTGACAGCCACAGAAAGGGCCATTTGACCTGTCTTTTTTTAACAAGCAACAACCCATAGAGGTTCCACGGGGAAATAGTTTCCCCACAAAACACCAGCACCAGGGCTGTCCCGAGCCTGAATAAATAATTTTTCATCTGCCACCGTATATGGGCTCCCGGATATTTTCCAGTGACATCTCTAGAGTTTACTGCCCCGAGTCCAGAGATCTGTGCCCCAGGAGACTTCACAGGCTAGTGTATTTTGTACGGAAAGGTGTAAAAGCATCATGCTTCAGTCATTTCTTCACACTTCACTTTCTTGTGGAAGTGCTCACGTGCGTGTCAAGGTAACAAATGGTGTGGCTTTTCTCTTCTGAGTCTTGTATAAACTCAGGTCCAACTTCTCCACTGTCACTGAAATTCCAATCAGCCAACACTGTGTTATAGCCACAGCTATCCAGGGACTTTCAAATCTGAGTGACCAAGACCCAGGAACACAGATTCCAGTTACCCCATGCTCCGTGTACCCCAGAAGTAACTCACTCTTGTAAGCAGAAGGAAGTAGCTCTGCCTTCATGGGCCTCGGCAAAGCATAGTACTGCCACTTTTTTAAAAGATTAATTTATTTATTATGTATACAGTCTGCATGTATGTCTGCAGGCCAGACCGGAAGAGGGCACCAGAACTCATTTCGGATGGTTGTGAGCCACCATGTGGTTTCTGGGAATTAAACTCAGAACCTCTGGAAGAGCAGCCAGTGTTCTTAACCGCTGAGCCAACTCTCCAGTCCCACCTCCACTTTTTATATGGTAGTTTAAATCCTAAGGAGTGAATATCAAAGTTGCCTTTCTGCTGTTATCGGGTTTACAGGAAATGAGATCCTTTCTCAATGGCCCCCGAAGTTGTTAATCCCTGTTTTCCAATTTCAAAAATCAAAACCTTAAGGAACCAGACAAGGAATAAAGGACTCCAAATATTTTTGTCATTTCTGGACTTCAGCCAAGACAGAGCAACAGACATTTTTGGCTTTTGGCCAAGGATATAATCAAGGCCCCTATCTCTAAACATTCTGCGTCATTTCCATCTTTCTTTTTTATCATTCCCTACTGTCTTAGGGTTTCTATTGATATAACAAAACATCATGCCAATACATTGGACACATGGAGAGTCTGAGTTTGCAAACTTGTGTAAGAATAAAGCTCTTTGCTTTAACATACAGGACTCAGTCTCCTACTTGGTTTTGGGGGGACTCCAGATCTGGGCATAATAATCTACACAGTTAAGTTCCAGGACGGCCAACCTTTCACAGAGACCCTACTTCAAAAATCAAAGAGACAAAGAGAATGCACTGTTAGTTGCCATTTACACAGGTATGAAGTAACTTGGGGGCGGGGAGCAATAGGGGCACAGAACTTAGGATTTAATGAGAAAGAACGAGGCAGTTGTTTGAGGATTAGAAATTTATCAGGCAAAGTATTAACTCCACAGATAGACAGCAGCATGGTGGGAGCTCTTCAGAAAGTTCAGGCCCACGGGGCAGAATGGAGGTCCCTTTCTATAGGTTCCAGAAAGAGGTGGAAAGTCCTATGTCATGGAGCTGTGAGTGAACCAGAGTTTGTGCTTGTCAGGTCAAGATGTCATATTCTCAGGCAACGGTGAAAGAACTGAGCTTTGACCCTTGGTTACTGTGACATCAACTGCAGTCTTTGTTTGCTCAGGCTCTACAAAATTTCCCTCGGGAAGTGAAAATCACAGACTTACAAGGGGACTATCAGTAGGGTGTCTGCCATTTCTCCTGCAGCAGCTATGAGGTAAAAGAGAGAGAGGATCCTGTAAGTGACGGTGGCCGAGGAGGGCCTAAACCAAAGCCCAGCCCAGACCTAACACACGCCAACCTTATAAAACCTCACAAAACCCAACTTTGTTGTAAATACTGTCTCCACTCTTGCCATCTATATTTCAGACACTCTTCCCCAAGACCGGATGAAATTTTAGTATTTTGAACTGTTAATTGCTCTGGAAGGGTTGTGCTCCTGGGTCTTGAGTGCTCCTCTCCATGTGTGTATGAGTTAGGAGATGTCAATAGAAATAGCATGTGACCTGTGATCAAGCAGTTTTGTAAGTTTTCATTTGCTGGAGAGAGGACTCAGTGGTTAAAAGCACTGACTGCTGTTGTAGTGGACCCAGCTTTAATTCCTGGCAGCTCACAACTCTCTGTAACTCCAGACCAGGAGTCCAACGCCCTTTTTTGTCCCTGACAGGTACTGCATGCATGTGGTACACAGAAAAACATACAGGTAAAACACCCACACATGCAAAAATAAATAGTAATTTTTTAAAAGAACATCATCTAGTTATTTTAATAAAATTAGCTTCTCAGGTCAGGCAGTGGTGGCACAGGCCTTTAATCCCAACACTCAGGAGGCAGAGGCAGGCAGATGAGTTCAAGGCCAGCCTGGTATATAAAGCAAGTTCCAGGACAGCTAGGGCTACACAGGAAAACCCTATCTCAAAAAACAAAACAAATAAATCATTGAATACAATTAAACTTTCCAAAATCAAAAAACATAAGTAATGAATGCTTAAATTCCATTTAAATTTTGATTTTTCTGGGCCAGTGAAATGGCTCATGGGTAAAGGCACTTGCTATGAAGTCTGAGAACCTGAGTTCCACTCTTAGGACCCACATGATGGAAGGAAAAACCAATTTCCGAAAGTTATTCTCTGGCCCCAATATGTGTGCCACGATATATCCACACCTTCATAAATAAATGCAGGAAAAGGTTTTTTAAAAATAGTTAATTTTTCGTTTCCAATCTCCATTAACTATGTCATCAATAGTTTAGAATCATGAGGATAAGGATGTAAAGAAGGCATGGTGGTGCACACCTTTAATTCCAGTATTTGGGAGACAGAAGCAGGCAGATCTCTGAGATCAGCCTGGTCTGCAGAGCTACTCCCAGGACAGCCAAGGTTACATACACGCACATAAACACACACACACATACAATATCAAAAACCAAAATAATAATAATTTGTGTGCTTTGTATATTTTGTCTGTTAGGGACTTTGGAAAGTACAAGTCAGTCCGCACCTGTAAGTCCGTCCTTTGTCATCTCTGACTCCCTGAAATTACTGCTCAGCTCTTAGTAACATCCTAGGATTAGCTTAAAGGATAAGGTTTTGTGTTTTAAAAAGACTATTTTTAAATGATGTCTTACACATCTATGATTTTCAGAAGTATATATTGCTCTGTTTCTGAACTTTATATGTGATACAGAATTTTACAAAGTTAGTGGTGTAGTAGATTAATGCAAAAGTAAGCGGGAAGTGTTGCTCCCCAGCACAAGTCCTCAGCAGCTGATTGTGGCTGAAGGAGAGACAATAACAGAAGCTACATCCAGAGCCAGTCTGAGCAATGGTCCAGCAGACCAGAGACTAGCCCTGATTGTTCTTGGCCTCGGAGCAAGTTGCTTAGCTTGAGCTAACCCCACTCAGGATGGAGAAATGCAACCATGATGGGAAAGAGAAACAACTTGGGGAGGATCACAGTGGGCTGACAAGGGAATTCCTGGTGTAATTAGGGTTACTATTGCTTCGACAAAGCACCGTGACTAAAAGCAAACTGGGGAGGAAAGGGTTTATTTGTCTCACACTTCCACTGTGCTGTTCATCACTGGAGGAAATTAGAATAGGAACTCAAACAGGGCAGGCACCAGGAGTCAGGAGCTGATGTAGAAGCCATGGAGGGATGCTTCTTACTGACTTGCTCCTCATGCTTGCTCAGTCTGCTTTCTCACAGAACCTAGGAAAAGCAGCCCAAGGATGACACCACGTACAATAGACTGGCCCTTCCCTCTGAATCACTAATTAAGAAAATGTCTTATAATCTCACCAAAAGCAATCTTCAGATTCAATGCAATACCTATCAAAATCCCAGAAAAATTCTTCATAGACCTGAAAAGAACAATACTCAATTTTATATGGAAAAGCAAAAAACTGAGGATAGGCAAAACACTCCTGTATAATAAAGGAACTTCTGGAGGCATCACAATCCCTGACTTCAAACTCTACTACAGAGATACAGTACTGAAAACAGCATGGTATTAGCATAAAAACAGACAGGAGGACCAATGGGACTGAATTGAAGACCCAGATATTAATCCACACACCTAAGAACACCTGATTTTTGACAAAGAAGCAAAAAAATGTCAAATGGGAAAAAGAAAACATATTCAACAAATGGTGCCGGCATAACTGGATATCAATATGTAGAAGAATGAAAATAGATCCATATCTATCGCCATGCACAAGACTCAAGTCCGAATGGATCAAAGGCCTCAGCATAAAACCAACCACACTGAACCTCTTAGAAGAAAAAGTGGGAAGTACACTTGAATGCATTGGCACAAGAGATCACTTCATAAATATAACCCCAGTAGCACAGACACTGAGAGAAACAATTAATAAATGGGACCTCCAGAAACTGAGAAACTTTTGTAAAGCAAAAGACACAGTCAACAAGACAAAATGACAGCCTACAGAATGGGAAAAGTTCTTCACCAACCCCACAGCAGACAGAGGGCTGATCTCCAAAATATACAAGAACTCAAGAAATTGGTCATCAAAAGAACAAACAACCAATTTAAAACAAATGGGGTGCAGACCTAAACAGAGAACTCTCAATAGAGGAATCTAAAATGGCTGAAAGACACTTCAGGAAATGTTCAACATCCTTAGCCATCAGAGAAATGCAAATCAAAACAACTCTGAGATTCCATCTTACACCTGTAAAAATGGTCAAGAAAAAACCACTGATAACAGCTTATGCTGGAGAGGATGTGGGGGTAAAGGGAACACTTCTGCATTGCTAATTGGAGTGCAAACTGGTACAGCCCCTTTGGATGTCAGTGTGGTGACTTCTCAGAAAATTAGGAAACAACCTACCTCAAGACCCAGCAATACCACTTTTGGGTGTACATCCAAAGGATGCTCAATTGTACCACAAGGACATGTATTCAACTGTGCTCATAGCAGCATTGTTTGTCATTGCCAGAACCTGGAAACAACCTAAATGCCTCTTGACCGAAGAATGGATAAGGTAAATGTGCTACATTTACATAATGGAGTAATATACAGCAGAAAAAATAACGACATCTTGAAATCTGCAGGCAAATAGATGGAGCTAGAAAACATCATATTGAATGAGATAACCCAGACCCAGAGAGACAAATATCATATGCACTCACTCATAAGAGGCTTTTAGACATAAAGCAAAGAAAAACCAGCCTACAATTCACAATCTCAGAGAACCCAGGCAACAAAGAGGACCCTAAGAGAGACATACATGGATCTAATCTACATGAGAAGTAGAAAAAGACAAGATCTCCTGAGTAAATTGGGGGCATAGGGACCATGGGAGAGGGTAAAGGGGGAGGGGACAGGAAGGGAGGGGAGAGGAGAAAATATATAACTCAATAAAAACAGTAAAAAAAAAGAAAGAAAGAAAGAAAAGAAAAGAAAAGAAACAGAAAATGCCCTACAGTCTTGTTTATAGATTTTTATTTGTTTTGGTTTTTTGATTCTGCATTTTTTTTTAAATTTTTATTCTTCTCTCATACATTCCAACTGCAGTTTCTCCTTCCTCCACTCTCCCCAGTTCCTCCCCTGACTTCTCTTCTCCCCCAGATCAACTCCTGTTTTCCTTAAAATAGAAAAAAAAAAGCAGACCTCCCAGGGATATTCACTGAATACAGCCAAATAAGATACAATAAAACGTGACACAGGCACAAACCCTCATATCACAGCTGGGCAAGGTAACCCCGTAGGAGGAAAAGGGTACCACGCACAGGCAAAGAGTGACACCCCACTCCCATTGTTGGGAGTCCCACAAGAGCAGTGAGCTACCGACCACGAGGTATATGAGCAGACCTAGCCAGCCCATGCAGGGCCTGGGTTTGTCACTTCAATTTCCTACAGCTGGATCTTGTGGAGGCATTTTCTAAATTGAGGCTCCCTCCTCTCTGATAACTCTAGCTTGGGTCAAGTTGACATAAAACTAGCAGGAGACTCCCATTCACACAGTCACACATAAATGTGTTCTTTTCAGAAAACAATGAAACCTTTTCATGCCGCATTAGATATTGCTAACATTTTTCTTCAGTTCCCTTAGCTACTGATACCTGCTCACCATGAATGCTTACAGACCTCCAGAGACCCTGCCCACCATTGTAAAAAGTCTCATTGCACATGTGGTATAAACCTTGTCTCTTAGTGTCTGACAGGCAATAATTTGCCACCTGGACAATCTTGCCACTTGAAACCTTGGTATTAATTTGTGCGCTCTGACAAAATAAGTATTCTATTATTCTATGTGAGGTATATTTGTACATAATGTCTATAATAACTAACACTAACCCTAGACCTGTAAGAGATACGAAATTTAGGGTTTCGCCAATGCTACTGCCCTTTTACCCTTCTGAGTCAAAGATCCTAAATTGTACTCCAGTAGGAAAGTTGACTTAACACACACACACACACACACACACACACACACACACACACAAACTTGTGTATAATTCTTCTGTTCAATAATGCTAGTTCTTATTGGCTCTTTTATTTATGTATTACATAAGTTATATAAAATATAAAGCTTTCAAAACCACCTTATTGAAATGATGTAGCAATGTTTATAGAATGAACCTTTCCCACCTTCATGTTTGTGTGATCTCGATCATCTTGTGACTACTCCCTTGAGCAAAGCCTAAAGAGAACTCACCAGATGCTTCATCAGCCACATCTTCAGAAAATGTTGTTCAAAGGAAACACAGGGCAGTATGGGAGGGAGTCAGGATTGAAACAAAGTTACATTGATCATGGTAGCATTTGCCTGTAATTCCAGCACTTAAGACATGGAAGATGGAGAATATCAGGTTTGAGGCCAACCTAGTCTTCATGAAGATCCCATCTTAAACCAATAAAGTAGTCAGATAGTGGTGGCACACGCCTTTAATCCCAGCACTTGGGAGGCAGAGGCAGGTGGATCTCTGTGATTTCGAGGCCAGCCTAGACTACAGAGTGGGTTCCAGGACATCCAAGGTTACACAGAGAAACCCTGTCTATAGAAACCAAAAACAACAACAACAAAGAATCCTTTATGTCAACCTTCAAAGGTCACTAAAAGCTAAGTGGTTACTGAAAACCAGCAATAAGAGTTGGCTGAATGTATTCTACTTACATTTGTTTCAGACAGAAACACTTTCCATCCACCTCAAGAGTTAGATGTCAAAGCAAAAATGTAATCACTTTGGGAGAAATGAAAACACCCCCAAAATACTCTTGTGTCCCTTACTTCAGCTATCAGACTATTGAGACAATAGACCCAAGAAATTAGAATCCCCACCCATCCATAGAATCTCACACTGGAAGGAGAGAAACCCTAAAACCTAGACTAGATCAAACTTGTCTCCCAGAAAGGGATGTACAGTCTCTCTGACCACCTAGCAGGAGCACAGCCAAAACAGTGATGAGCAGGACATGCCAGAAAAGGAAGTATTCATATGATCGGAGCTTTTAATTCTTTTTTTATTTTATTTTAGAGGAATCAGAGAGTAAACGAGGTTTGAATAAATGGTTGTTATAAATCTCTTTAGTTAATCTCTTTCAGTAGTTTTGAGTTTTGTCACCAGTATGTTAAATCACACACACACACACACACACACACACACACACGGATTATATAGAGAAGGGCAGTTGAGGAAAGGGCAATCCAGCTCCTGGGCTGGAGTTTAGGGTAGGGATTGGGGTATGCCAGCCAGGAAGACCCTGTAACAGGTAGGGACTGAAGGATACAGAGAGAACCTGGCAGCCAGGTCCGCTTTGATATGTTAAATAGGCACCTGAGCCAATTGTCCCAGCTTTGAAGCCTGACAACATTTAGGTAGTCCTTCTTTGCCCTATAACCCATTCTGATACCCATATGCACTCTCCACCCCTCTGAGAGCTTCTTTCTCACAGGACATGGTGGCACACGCCTTTAATCCCAGCACTGAGGAGGTAGAAGCAGGTGGATCTCTGTGAGTTCGAGGCCACCCTGGTCTGCAGATTGAGTTTGAGGACAGCCAAGGCTACACAGAGAAACCCTGTCCCAAAACAATACAACAAACAAACTACACATTTCTATCTTCTCCCTCCTCCTCCCTGCTAGCCCACTACCCTCTATATGGGTACTTGGCCTGGATTTAGGCCAATATTAGATCCTTCTGCAACAATGTTTTTTCACTCAAACTACCTGCCCTACTTAAGCCATTTTGTTTTATACACCGTACCAATTGAGTTTTAATTTATTAAAACTCAATAAAGTTTAAATAAATATATTTAAACTATTCTAGAGTACCTCTCTCCCTTATCTGTTATCTTTGCTTCTTTAAAGCACACCTCATTTTTATTATTTAAATATTAAATTTAATATTTTTTTGCTACATGCATGTAAAAACTTCCGTGAGCTACACTTATACTGTATAAGTGATAAATTTCAATGATAAATATAGAGAGAAAATTTCCAGAGTCCAAAGCCAATTATGAGAGTCTAAAATATATATAAAGACCTGAGGACCTGTATTACAGGTTGTTAGGATCTGAAGGCATAAAAGCTTGGATTATATGGGTCTGAGAGGATATTGTAAAAAATATAAATAACAGTTTATAAAAAATCATGATTTAATATGTATATAGAAATTATTATAAGATTTCTTTCCCCTTCCATAATATTATTATACTAGAATTTCAAAAGTTCAGAGTTTAACATGAACAGAGTTCTGACAATCTAATAGAGCAATCATTGCTTACTATTTGGGTCACAAAGCTCAAGACTTTAAATTTCTTTTGGTTGTCTTCTAAATATTGGCTTATATGGTGTTTAATTCAAATCTATAGTTTTTGTTAGGACTCAAGGATGTGAATCTACTCCTGATGTTTTACAGACACCTGTTACCTCCTTTTTCTACAATATAAATTTCAGTACGGGGGGCTGGAGAGATGGCTCAGTGGTTAAGAGCATTGCCTGCTCTTCCAAAGGTCCTGAGTTCAATTCCCAGCAACCACATGGTGTTTAACAACCATCTGGAACGACATCTGGTGCACTTTTCTGGCCTGCAGACATACACACAGACAAAACATTGTATACATAATAAAAATAAATAAATATTAAAAATAAATAAATAAATTTCAGTGCAGACTAGTAATGCTAATATATCTAAAACTTTTATGGCCTTTTATAAAGTGGATATTCATACAAACTTTAAAAAATTGAGAGAATTATATATCTCAGACCCACTTCTCACAAGTCAAAATGATTATGGTATTTCTTCTCTCTCTCTTGGTCTTGAAATTCTTCCCCTTTCTTAATTATTGAGAATAAGAGTCTACAATTTTCATGAGTTTATAAATTTAACTTCTGTTCCCAGTTTGTATCTGTTTCACCAGGTTTCTACTTGGCCGACAAACACAACCAAGCATCAATTGCTGATAACGATCTGCTCCAAATGACTATGAGTCCTGAACTTGCGAAACCTGATGTGGATCAATCCAGCCAATGTGACTGCTGTCAATAAACCAAATAAAACCCTTATTGCCTTTGACTAACTTTCTACTTTTCTATGTCCCTGAGAACAATGTTCTAAGGTCAGCAATAAGTAATTACAAAAATGGATACCTCATTCCCCCATGGCACATGGGAGTCTTAAGACTCAACTTAAAATATAATGAAAAAGGGGAAGTTAGGGTTATACCTACAGTCACCATATATGTGTTTTTTTTTTAATTTTTAAAAGGGATGTCTGTCAGCAATCTTCTGCAAATAAACTTTGACATAAAAGAACCCCCTTATAGTTTGCTCAGGTCTAATGGAAAGATCCATCTACTGGTTTATAAAGGGGTCCCAACTTTGTTTTGGTATGGGGAGAGGGCATGTTTGTGTTTGCACACAAAATAAAATTAAAACTCAATTGGTACGGTGTATAAAACAAAAAGATACTAATCCTGATGTTGCTGATGATAATCCAAAAAAGCCAGAGTTAAGACCAATTGGGCCTGTGTTTCTGATCCACCTATTTTACATCCTGCTGTTTGGAAAGGAAAGGAGATTGTGATTACAGTCAACAATATACGACTTTTAGATCGACCTGCCACACAAGAGTTTTTGATTGCTCGAAATTTTCTTATGTTGGGTGTGATAAAGGAATTCCTTTATATTTCGCAAAGAATATTGCTTTGGAGGAAGGTCTTGGAGTGTTTCCAAAATTAATTATGGGACATGATAAACAATGTACTTATTTTACAAAGTTATTGCTTCCTCGAGGTAATTGGGTAAATGATATTTCACCCCTTCAAAGATTTCCTCCATGCACAAAGGAACCAAGAGTCTAATAAAACTTTGATGTAGAAACAATACATTCTTTACTGGTCTAAAAATCAAGAAAGTTATAGTGACTCTTATCCTTTGTCTACAGCATAATCTTGGGACCAAGGACTGCAGCTGGAATTTGGTACTCCAGTACACAAAATTTCCAGACTTACATTTGAAAACTTGCTGCTGTCATGGGAACAGCGGCAGGACAATCCATTCTTCAAAGCCTGTTTGCCCCCTGAAAGGAACTGTCTTGGCTCGTGTCAAAATGCCTTATGTTCTTTAGGTGAAAGAGAGAGAGTTCTCTATAAATGCTATTGCTTTTAATGTATTAGGCTCTGATTATAATTTGATTAATTGTATTTCTCAAGTGGATGATCATACCTGTGTACTGGTGTTAAAATAACCTTCTTTTGTAATGTTACCAGTGCATGTAAATGATCCATGGTTTAATGACAAAGGGTTAAAAATAATATTTAAAATTTTTTTTAAAGCTTTAGGTAGACAAAAACGTGCTGTTGGATTAGCTGGAGCAGGGATTTCAGCTCTTGTTGTTGTGCTTACTACTTCTGCTAAAGTTGCTTCCATGGCTTTGTCTCGGTCTATTCAAAATGCAGGGTTTGTTAGTCAATGATCTAAGAATGTTTCTATGATATTGGAGATACAAAAAGGCAAAGAGGTAAAAACAAAACATAAATTAAATACCATGTATGATGTGGTACAATCTTTAGGGGATAAGCTCCAAAGCTTAAACACCAGAGTCCAGTTAAAATGTCGCGCTAACTCTAAAGGAATTTGTTTACATCTTCTGTGTATAATAAAAGTGTTATCCATTAAAAAAGAGTAGAAGTACATCTTAAGGGACTCTGGCATGGTTCTAATGAGTCCTTAGATTTGGCTAAATTCATCAAAGAATACTAGATTTTTAAAAGGCTAAAATGGATTTTAATACATGAAAAGCAGTTGAGATATTTTGGAACAGTTTAAAAAGGCCGTCCCATCATGGTCAGCATTTACTTCACTTCTTAGTAGTATTACAGTTGTTGGAGCTTGTGTTCTTTTGGGCGTAATTTGTTGATGATCTCTAAAACAACAGTAACTTGCATTTCCAGAACTAATGCAACTTGTTTTCCTAGATTCTTATCACCCACCGAGTCAACCCCTAGTAAAAGACAGGAGAGGAAGTTGATGACCTGGCATTCTTTACCCACTACCCCTGGCTACACCCAGCAGTCATCAGTCTCAGACTGAAGAGGAAACTTTCCAATCTCCTTTCCACCCCATTCCCCTGCCTGCCCTTTAAGTATCTCAGACAGTAAGCAGAAAGCAGGCTCTGACTCTCCCAAAACAGACACACACAGGAGACACACACATACATACACACAGACACACAGGTGACACCGACATACAGACACACACACACACACACACACACACACACACATAGAAGATAGAGGCATGCAGACACATACACACAGAGAGACACATAGAAGACAGACAAACACACACAGATATACACAACAGACATCTGCACATAGACACACATGTACACACATACATACACACATGCACAGACACAGATAACACACATACCCTGCAGGGTTTTCTCCCATATAAAAGCCTATATACTATTGCTCACTCTCTTGCCCATCTTTCCTTCCCATTGAGCTCCTGCTTTCACATCTAGATACTCTGTTAAAATAGGGGTGAAAAACCGCAGAAGGCCTGGATGTCCGTGACCCTTGTCAGAGAGTCATTCCAGAATTTGGGCAAGAGAACATAGCTCAGCTGGCAGAGTGCTTGCCTAGCATACACAAAGCCCTGGGTTGAGCTCCATCATGACATAAACACAATGGTGGAACATGCCTGTAAGCCTAGCACACAGGAGGAGGTAGCAGGATATTCAGAACTTCAGAGTCAGCTTCGGCTACACAGCGAGATTGAAGTTAGGTTGAAGTACAAAAAAGAAGAAAGGAGAAGGAAGAGGAGGAGGAGAGAGGAAGAGTAGAAGAGAAGGAGGAGAAGACGAAGAAAAGGAGGAGGAGGAGGAGGAGTACAAGGACGAGGAGGAGGATGAGGAGGAGGCGGCATACCGCTGGAGATGAAGAGATGGCTCAGGGGTTAAGAGCACTTGCTACTTTTGCAGAGGATAGTGCTGAAGACCAGCCTTGATGAAATTCATACATTCCAGGGTAGGAGTGTGAGGATTAGAATTATTAAGCAAAGGGAGCAGAGATAAAGAGAAATAAGAGATAGAAACAGAAAACAGCATCGGGAGGGACAGTCAGTGAATACTGAATCTGCCTTGTTAATTTTCCACACACTTATATACTTCACTCCAAAAGGGGAAGAGAGAGGCAACAGACTTCATTAGCATGATATAAAGAATAGACTTGAGTTCTCCAACCTTTGGTCCAGGGGGAGCAGATCCACCTCTATACCCAAAATACTAACTAACCAAACCCTAAGTCAGAATCTCTTGTTTGTAGCCACATCTGCTGTCAACAACTCTGAAAGAACAAAAATGAGCTCAAACTCTGTGACCTCCAGTCAAGGTAGAACAGGCTCACACCTGCGGGCCCTCTCAATTTCTCCCTTTTTATTTTATTGAATAAAGTCTGTGCTTTATTATTAAATAAAGAACCCCTGCTTTGGGGGTCCTTTTCCCATTTTCCAGACTTACCTGCCTTTTGTACATACATTCTGTCATGTACATTCTGTCTGGGGGGAGGAAGATCTTACCTGTCTCTGACTACCAACCTCCGTGAATAAAGGATTAAGAGAGAATGCATCTCTAGGCTCTGTGTACCTCTGAGCCAATTTTCTGTCAAGAGAGCTAATTATATGCAAACAGATAATATTTTGTGATACACATACTCCTATAGCTACAATGTCTCCTAAGAAAGGAGTGGAGTGTGAACAGAGGTTGAATTGTCTTTTTTTTTAAATGGTCTAGGATATCTTTAACAGTTTTCAGCTACAGTCTAAATCCAAATTTGTCTTATTAAACATATCAGACCTAAGAACTTATGATGTCAAAATTGTCTCAGACAAGCTCTAATCTTTTTCGAATCAGTAACATCTTCATAACGAACTAAAGCACTCACAAACATTAACAGATAAATACCATAATTTCAGCACAGAAATTAACAATAAATACAAAAAAATGTGATTTTTCAAATCACAATTCTCTTAACTCCATTCTTATCAAAAGACAAGAAGAGGTTTCTGTGATGGGTGAGCTCTTTTTCCTTTCCTGTAGTCCACCTGCATTGCTGCTTCTAAGTTTTAAGGGTAAGTTTGAACTGTCCCAGTCTCTGAGCAGTAACACACTGTGCCCCCGCCTCCTCATCTCTGAAGACGGGCTTCAGATGCTCTTGTAATGAGTCTTTTTTCCCCAAAGGGGAAATTTTCTGATGTCTCAGTTCTCAGGCCCTTTATTTCATCAATAGATTGACCACCATACTGGCAAAGATGAGTTCTGTGTCTCGAGATACAGTGTGGACAAACTGTCAAACATTCATCCAGTGGTCTTGGGCCAGTTCCAAAGTAAACAGGACTCACTAAGGTCTGGAAGTTTGTGCAGTGGGTCCACCAAGAAACTGGGAATCACCAACATGATCTTCCTTCCCTTCTCAGACTGCAGCAGTGATGTGGGAGTCCCCCCTGTGTGCTGTCATTTGCCAACGATGAATAAAGAAACTGCCTTGGCCTGTTGATAGGGCAGAACTTTGGTAGGCCAGGAGGACAGAAGTGAATGCTGGGAGAAGGAAGGGTGGAGCCAGAGAGACACCACGGAGCTGCCAAGACAGACCCTGGGAATTTTACCTGGTACGCCACTGCCATGTGACGACACACAGATTAATAAGAAATGGGTTAAATTGAGATGTAAGAGTTAGCCAATAAGAAGTTAGAGCTAATGGGCCAAGCAGTGATTTGATTAATACAGTTTCTGTGTGGTTATTTCAGTTCTGGGTGACCAGGAACAAACGAGTGGCACCCTTCCTCCTACAGATGTTACACAGCATGACAGTGTAAGTCAGGAACCTCACTCCAACTCTTCTGTGGGGCATCAGTGGCTACGATGGCATCAGGCCTGGCATCCTTCTGCTGCACACGTCAGACTAGAGATTCTGGAAAGCATTGTGCTTCACCCTCCTGTGGAAAAAAAAAAACAGTCACGTCCTTGACCCCATATTAAGACAGGGTGATGACCTTTCCATAATCCAGCACTAAGGTCTTCCCACCTTGCTTTAGTGAAGATGACCTTGGTGTTATCATGTCAAGATCTGTCCAGGGCAGATTGCTCACAGGCATCCATATTCAAGAAATTTCGATTAAAAGGGGTGTGACTTAAGGTATTATGTGGTGACTGCGGGTATATTTCCCCTACTTTTATCTTTTGAAGTTAGGATTTCAAGGAGCCATAGGCACGCTCCAAAATTCATTGTCCTTGAGGATTATAAGAAGTGCTAGTTTCATGTTCAATATTCCATTGGGATCAAAATTGCTGAAATGCTTTACTAATATATCTGAACCTGTTGCCTTTTTTATAATTTTAGAGGTTCCCATATATGAAAAGCATTTGATTTTAAACATACTTAGTGGCTTTTCCAGTTTGGGCAGAGGCCATTAAGAAACCTGAATATATATGGATTATTACATACACATATCTTAATTTGCTAAATTCTGCAATATGAGTAACATACATTTGCCATAAATGATTAGGAAGGAAGCCTCAAGGATTTACTACCAAATAAGGTACAGGTAAATATTATGGTTATATATCACATTGCTTAACAATCTGGCAAGCAATTTCTCTTGCTAATCTAAATTGCTTCCTTAAACTATTACTATTCTGATGATGTGATCATTGGGCAAGCTCAACTTGAAAAAAAGCCACCAACTTTGTAAACTTATTGGCTAAAGCATTACCTTCAGCCAATGGACCAAGACGATTTGAAAGTGCTCTGATATGACCCACAAAGCAAGGCAATTTTCCTGATAAATGGCATCTTAATTGTGTTGGAACAACATTTTAACTTGCTTTTTAATAGTCCCTATGCATGGAACAGTTTCCAATATCTGAAGAGCTTTAAAAATGTACTGACAGTCAGTATATAAATTAAATGCCTTACTTGCACAAAGCTGAAATACTATAGCAAAAGCTCACAGCTCAACTATTTGAGCTGAGGCCAGTTCTGTTTGCACTACATGTCCCTTACCATCAATAACATGCTGCTCTTCGTGAGAAGAGCCATCTGTGAAAATTAACACAGCAGCCTCTAAGGAATCTTTCACTACAACTTCAGGAAATATAAAGGAATATAGTTGTATGAATTGTAGCAATCAATCATCAGGTAAAAGGTTATTAATCTGGCCTTCAAATTGAGCAAACACAATTGCCCAAGATTCACTATTTTGAAATATCAATCTATTGCTTAATATAAGGAACATTAATCACAGTAGGTTCCCTGTCAAAATATCACCTAAATTTCATTCAGCTTTTCTGTATTAAACAAACTACTACTTCAAAATATGGGTTTAATACCTTGACTGGCAAAATGAGAAGATATATCCACATAAGCAGACCATTTTGCCATGATACTGCTGTGGGAGTAAGTTTTGTAAGTAATATACATGCTTGCCAAGGTTGATCATAATTAATTTAATACACCTACTGTTTCTGTATTGCATATTCCACCTGTTCCAGTACTTTTCTGGAAGCTGTCTGGTGAAAGTCAGGTCACTGCTCCCCTTAAAAATTTCACTTAGTGGCTCAAGGTCTCCCATAGGGAATTTTAAATGAGGTTTCAGCCACTGGATATTTCCTAACAAGGTCTGAAAATTAGTCAGAGTCTGCAAGCTGTCCTTCCCAATTTCCAATTTCTGGGGCTTAATTTCTTTAGGATATAACATATGACCTAAATATTGGAGCAGTAGGTGCCTTTGCACTTTCTCTGGAGCAACAACTAACCCTGCATGGGTAAGACTCTGTTGAAGTTGTCCATGTGTCTCAATTAAAACTCCTTTATTTTTGTGGGTAAGCAAGATATCATCCGATAAGTTTCTGGAAACTGGTCTCTAACATTTTGTATAGCCTGAGCCACAAACTTCTGGCATGATGTAGCACTGTTTGCCATACCCTGAGGCAAGATACTTCATTGATTTCTTCTCATTGGCTCTTTGAAATTAACTAATGGAATACTAAATGCAAATCTTTGACAGTCTGGTGGTGCCAGAGGAATGGTGTAAAAACAATCCTTTAAATCTAAAAGAGTCTTACAGGTGTCTTTTGGTATAGCTATAGAAGAAGACAACACAGGCTGTAAAGCCCCAATGGGCTGCATGGTCCCATTAACCTCTCTTAAATCTTGTATTGATCTCCACTTGCCTGGTTTCTTTTTGTAATGGTATGAGCAGCGGGCTGCATTCCTGCCGCCCGGCTCACGCACGGCTAGCTTTACACCCAAAATAACAACACACAAATTGTATTCATTCAAACACTGCCTGGCCTATTATCTGTAGCCTCTTATTGGCTAACTCTTACATATTGATCTAACCCATTTCTAATAATCTGTGTAGCACCACGAGGTGGTGGCTTACCGGGAAAGATTCTAACCTGCGTCTGTCTCGGAGAGGAGAGTCATGGCAACTGCCTCACTGCCTTCTTCCTCCCAGCATTCTGTTCTGTCTACTCTGCCTACCTAATTTTCTGTCCTATCAAAGGCTGAGGCAGTTTCTTTATTAACCAATGAAAGTAACACATAGACAGATGACTCTCTTACATCATCTCTTTAATCACAAAAATAGGAGAATTCCAAGGGGAATTGGAGGGTAATTCCCCCTGTGACCATTATCCAGCTGTTCCTGTACTAAGCACTGGCCAACTTGTAATTTTTCTTCTGTTAGAGGCCTCTGATTTACCCATACAGGCTTGTCACTTTTCCATATAATTAGGTCTGTATGAAATGCGGACTTTTCAGTGACCTCTCCTAAAAATACCCTAATCCTACCCTGGGAGGCCTTTTGCAAGGTATGATAGGATCAATCCTTCCTTCATTCCCCTTGTCTTTGATTGGGTAACAACATTTGCTGAAACATTTGATTAGCAACAGCTATGTTGGGGGCACATAAATATACTCCCATTTGGGGCAAAATGTCACGGCCCCACAAATTTACAGGTTAAAAAATAGCAAGGTATGGCCGAAAAGTTCCTTCATGACCCTCTCCACCTTTTCCATCCAGGAAAGCTCATTGCTACTTTGTTCAGGATTTTGAGTTTGACGAATCCCTTGTAATTGTGTAATAGTCTCCATTAGGCCACCTAGAAGGCATTGACTGGCAGGTATAACAGAAATATCCACACCAGTATCCAGAAGACCAGTAAAGCTTTTTTTGTTTATAAACAAAGTAATTTCTGGTTGTTCTGGACCTATGACTTATAAACAATAGGTATCAGATGCATCAAATCTAGCCTTTCCTCTTATCTCCCTTAACTTGGTTTCTAGTTTGCACTGCTGGTAGTAAAACTAATTGCGCAAGCCTCTGTCCTGTCTCTACCACAGAAACTCCGTTAGGAAAGTGAGTCGTAACCTTGATTTCTCCTTCAAAATAAGCGTCAATTACTCCAGGAGTAACTAGGATTCTTTGCATGGTGGTGCCTCTTCTCCCCAATAACAACCCTACAGTGCCTTCTGGTAAAGACCTATAAACTCCAGTGGGGAGCCTGAAACCCTGTTTCAGGAGATAAAACTGTATAGATGCAAGAGCTGAGATCAAGCCCTGCACTGCCTGGGGTTGCTCTGCAAAGGTCCTGAATGGATTTCCTTGTGAGGGATCAGGCTGCTGGATCAGACCTGAGGTGGGTCCTTCCTCTCATTTCCTGCCAGGGTATTCCCTTGATCATCTCTCTTTGATCTGCACTTGTTGGTCCAATGTTTTCCTCTCCTGCATATCCAGCACACTTGCTTCTTTGCTTGCCCCTGGGCTTACTCTCCTACTGGGACATTGCCTGATCTGATATCCCATTAGGCCATGTCCGGAGCCTCCAGGAAGCCCTGTAACCCTCCTTATTGTATCTCTGCATAGCAGCAGTTATAGCCAGTCCCTGTGTATATGAGAGGTCAATATCTGAACAGATCCGAATATAATCAGAGATGTTAACTTTCTTTCTAAAAGACCTTAAAGCGGTTTTACATATAGCATTACCGTTCTCAAAGGCTAGCTGTTTAACTATCAAAAGTCTTGCTTCTGTATCACCAATCAACCTACTTGCTGTCTGCATCAGTCTGGAAACAAAGTCCTGAAACAAGTCATCAGGTCCCTGACTTATATTAAGACAATTCCTCAGTCTGCTCTTTAGAAGATGGAAATTTATTCCAGGCATTTTTGGCAGCTGTGTTAATTTGGGCATAGGCTGCTATATCAAAGTTTAACTGCTGATCTGTCCTTGTGTACAGTTCCTCACCTAGATACATTTCATTAAAAAAAAAAATAGGAGTTTGTTGGGCCCTATTTCGCTCAGTTGTGGTCTGACATTATTCTGCCAACACAGTATCCCACAACAGATAGTTCCCTCCTGGCCAAGCAAGCTTTGGCCAACTGCTTCCAATCCCCTGGGGGCAGAGCTTCCAGAGACATATTTTCCCAGAGCATCTGGGTAAAGAGAGCCATAGGACCGTATTGCACACAGGCCGCTTTTAATTCTTTGAGTAGTTTGAATGATATTGGAGCATGCGTCCTGACCAGATTTCTCTGAGCATTTCTTCGCTGTATTGCAGAAAACATTTGAAATCCTTGCATGTTCTCCTCTAGGTGAGCAGCCTCTCTGGTGCTAGTCAGCAAGGGAGACACACGATTCTTGCTGAGCGTCTGCCTTGCTCCTGGAGGTCTCTGCACCACCGTATTACGATAGGAAGAGACGTACTGTTCTAGCTTCTGTGAAAGCAATATTACCAACTCTTTCAAGCCTTAGTGTTTGCTGAATTTTACGATCATGTCCCTGCCTGTCAGCATTGCTAGTCAGAAGCGAGGGAGGTAGAAAGTCCTTACTACTGTACTTAACGGCTTCTTTCTTAAATTATCAAGTTTAGGTCTGATCTTAATCACCTAGTCCTGTAAATGCGTCCTCATCTAGCAGCTCCTCCAGTGGTGCCAAGGGTTCTGTCTCATTTCTAACCAATTCACGGGGAAGGAACAGCAGGAACCTCCTGATGCTCAGGATTTAAATCCAAACTCTCCTGTATACGCGTCCAGAAACAAAGAGTAACTGTCGAGACCCTTTCAAGCCCATATTCATAATAATGTCATTGGATTTTTACTCCAATTTCTTTCCATATTGCAGCGTCCAAGGTCCTGGACTTGGACAACAAAGTGCATAACTGTTCTATAAATTCTAAACAATTCTGTACTTGCTGCTATTGTACCTGAACTTCCCTGTCCTTTGAAATATCTCTAAGCAATTGTACAGACAGTTGATTGTTTTTTTCCCTGTCCCATATTTACAATTATATACAGATATTTTACTCCTGATATATTATCCCCTGCCTTTCTTCCTTTATTATCTATTATTTGAAGGGTCTGAAGACAAAAATAAAAATATAGAAATAAAAATATAGACACTAAAGATTAGAAGGTAGAAGTTTAGGATGTAGGAAGAAGGACACATAAAGCTGTAAACCTAAGTAAACTATCAACAACTTTCTCAGCAGATCACAGATCAATCTTCACAGGGATTACTTTCTCGGATGCCTGGGAAATCTCCATCACGTTAGCTATTTACAACTGACTGTTTTATTACAAGGCCAGAGCATCTCCCTGTAAACTGAGGGTAGTGTCTTGACTGTCCTTAACAAACAGTAGGTGTGAACTGAGTTTAACCCTTAGGAGACAGAGATATGTGACCTCTGAGTCAAACACTGTCTCTGTCATGGGAAACTGGCACTACCAGAGGAGAGGCATGACCTCAGTTTGTACTCGGGGATACCAGGAGACAGTGGATAAATAAAAAAAGGTTTAATGAGCTCTGATAATAAAGGTTATAAAGTATGGCAGTCAATATCTAAAAATTTACCTAAAAATAATATGAAAGACTTTTCTTCTAAGTTCTCAGTCCAAGAATCCTAATTTATTAACCTTCTAGTGTTATAAGCAGCCCCCTTTCTGACAAATTGCTAAAGATATATGTTTTCTTGCAATTAGTGACTTTCGTTGTAGTCTCTCCTAAAACATATTTCATGATGGCTGCCTAATTACTCATGGACACTAGCACTCACTCCCCTCTTTAGGGTCTCCGCTGACCAACCCAAGGGTCAGGGGCAAGGTTGTAAAATTCTTTTGATCAAGGATAATGCCTGGTGCCCCTGCTATAAAAAGTAGGTTCAAAAACCAGCTGTTTGCCACAGTGTCAGAAGCCTGAACTCTGCCTGTGGTCTCAGCTAGCTGATAAGTTTTTGCGCCCCACGGTGTTTTACTTTTTGCTTTTTATTTTTTTTTCTTTCGAGTTGCTTTTGGTTTTCCTGGGATCTGGTTTCTGGAATAAAGTTTGCTTTTGGTTTATTAGACTTGGTGGTGCTCTCATCTTTGCGCGTCCCCCCTGGACCCAACATTATTGTCTATTACTGAGCACTCAGTTCTCACCTCTACACCTGCTGTACCACCGGCCACATGTTCATGCGTTATCTGTTGTGCATCCTAAGCCAAACATTGTAGCACCATCTGTCAAAGACCAGCCTCGATGAAACTTGTACATTTCAGGGTAGGAGCGTGAGGATTAGAAGTATTAGACACAAGGAACAGAGATATAAGAGAAATAGGAGACAGAAACACAAAACAGCATCGGGAGGGACATTCAATAAATACTGATCTGCCTTGTTTATTTTCCATACACTTATATACTTCACTCCAAAAGGGGAAGAGAGAGGCAACAGACTTCATTAACATGATATAAAGAATAGACTTGAATTTTCTGACCTTTGGTCCAGGTGGAGCAGATCCACCTCTATACCCAAAATGCTATTAATCAAATCCTAAGCCACAAATTAAACAAATCCTAAGCTTGTTTGTAGCCACATCTGTGGTCAACAACTCTGAAAGAGCACAAATCAGCTCACACTCTGTGACCTCCAGTCAAGGTGGAACGGGTTCACACCTGTGGGTACCCACAAAGGGTAGATAAAATATTAGCCATTAAGAGACATCAGGTACATTTTAAAAATTGAAAAACTCTAGGCATAATGAAATTGAAAAAGAAAAAGGCATCTTCATTCTCTAGGTGGATTTGTTGCAACAAGAGACCAAAAAGGCACCAGTGAGGAAATACAGAAAAGAAAGCATGCCGTGCTGGCAAGTCTGGGTTAGCAGTGGCTACGGAGATCAGTACAAAGCAGCCTCGGAATCTCAAAAGAGAAATTCCCGAGATAACTGGCCTACTGCTTTAACTGCATCTTTCACCTTTTATGTAGTTTTACTATTGATTTTCTTGATTTTTTAAAAAATTAAACCCTAGATTAAAAAAAATAGTCGTGGACATGCATGCCTCTAATCCTAGCCCTCGAGAGGCTGAAGCAAGAAAACCATGAATTTAAAGGCCCCTGAGTGACGCAGTAAGACCCTGAAAACACACTCACACCTACTCTCACACACAAGCATATTCACA